CGTCTACGGCCGCCCGCCAGGCGACCCGCTCGGCCCGCCGGGCCACGCCGCGCCGCTCGCCGCCACCGCCCTGCCGCCGCACCCCTCCGGCTACGCCGTCACCGCCGCGCCCGGCTACTCGGGCTACGCGGCCTACGCCACGCCCTACGGCGCCGCGGCCCGCCCGCCGCCGCCGCGGCTCCAGGTCGCCGTGGCCACCATCGCCCACGTGCACGTGCGCAGCCTGTTCCGCCCGCTCCGCGCCATCAAGACCCACGCGGGCGCCCCGCGCCCGGCCGCCGTGTGCGTGCCCAAAGCCACGCGGCCGCCCGCCTCGCGGCCCAAGGAGCCCGTGCGCCGCCGCGACGCGGCCGGGCGTCGCCCGCCACGCCCGCCCGCGCCCAAGGACGTGCCGGACCAGCACCGCGCCAAGCCCGCGGTGGCCGTCCTGGCGTTGGTGGCCAGCGCGTTGCGCGGCGGGCCCGCGGCGCCGCACGGCCGCACGCTCGCGGAGATCCTCGACCGCATCAGGGACCTCTACCCGTACTTCCGCTTCTGCCCGGACGGCTGGCAGTTCCCGGTGGCGCACAGCGTGCGCCTCCACCGGATGTTTGTCGCCGTGGCCACGCCGCCCGCGCGGGCCGACTGGCGCTACGCCGTCGACCACGCGTACCTTGCGGAGCGCGACCGCGTGCGCCGCCGCCAGCAGGAGACTGCCGTGGCCCGGGCCAAGGACGCGGCGCTCCGTGCCGCGGACTTCCGCGTGCGCCCGGCGGGCACCCCGTACGGCGGCCCCGGCGGGCCCCTGGCGGGCGCCGGGTTGCAGCGGCCGCGGGGCATGGCGGACTTCGCCGGCGACACGCGGCGCGACGGGCCCCACGGCAAGGCCGCGCCGTTCTTCCAGCGCCGGCCCGCGGACTTCCGCCCGCCGGACGCGGAGCGGTTCCAGGCCACGATCAAGGACCAGCTCGCGGCGAACCGCGCCAAGGCGGCGCCGTCGCTCGGCGCGCCCACCGCGGTGCGGCAGCTCGGGAAGCCGCCCAGCTCCATGGGCGCTGTGCACGCGAAGGCCCGCGTGCCGGGCCTGGCCCTGGCGCCCGCGCCGCCGGCGATGAGCGGCGACACCAAGAGGTCCTTGGGCTACTTGCAGAAGGAGTTGTTCACGCTCTACAAGGCGCGCAGCCTCACGTACAACACGGGCGTGACCACGGAGATCATCACCAAGGCGTTGGCCACCACCATCGCGCAGGTCAACACCATTGGCGCCAAGGCCGGCTGCGGCGACAACGCGTTGAGCTTCTTGGTGGAGAAGGCGCCGCAGCAGGTCAGCAAGATCTTGGACATTGCCTTGACCAAGTCCATCAAGGAGACGCAGGCGGCCGGGCTGCCCGGCGGCACGCCGCCGTCCGCGGGCTCCGGCCCGCCCAAGCCGTCCTCCGGGGGCACGGCGCCGCCCGCGGCTGCGTCCCCCAAGGTCCCTGGCCCGCCGCGTGCGCCGTACGTGGGGCTCTCGAAGCCACAGAGCTTCTCCAAGCCTGCCACGTTTGCCCGCCCGCTGCACTCCGCGGCCAGTAGGCCTCGGCCCGACAAGCGGCCCGCCGAGGACGCGGACGCCGGCGTCAGGAAGAGCCCGCGGCCCGACGCCTCCAGTGGGGGGAGCTGACCGCGCCGGGGCGCCTGTGTGCTGCAGTGTCCCGGTGTTGGGAGACCCCCGCCTGGACGCCTCGAGGGCCCCGCAATGTGTTGAGGACGGTCGATGTCTGCATGTGTCGAGGGCGTTGCGAGGATCGTGGTGTGTCTTGATTATTCACTGCGCTTCGCGCATCAGATGGTGTGTCGATGATTCTACGTTGGCTCGATGGCCCCAGTGGACGCGATGTTCTGTGTATTTCAGGGTGCTCTGAAACTCGCTGTCCTTTATGCATTTCACAGTGCTGTGGACCTCACACTACTTTATGCATTTCACGGTGCCGTGGATCTCACGGTGCTTTGTGGGTTTCGCAGTGCTGTGTACCGGTGCTTTAAGCATTTCACAGTGCCGTGGACCTCACGCTGCTTTATGCATTTCACGGTGCCGTGTACCGGTGCTTTATCCATTTCACAGTGCCAGTCGCCAAAGATTCAGGATTTCTGGATCTATGGGCGCTATAGTCTTCTGGAGTGGCCCAAGTTTTGTGGACTTGTTACAGTTCCAAGAATCTCATCCAAGTCCAATGATCTCACGACGTTTCGATGGTCTTGTGATGTTTGGGTGTCTGGGTGTTTTGGTGACCCGCAGGTACTTGGTGGTTCCTGGCGGAATCTCACGCCGTCTCTTGCACTTCAGAGTGGCTCGTGGATCGAAGATATGGCGGGAACATCTCCGAACGGTCGGGGAGTCTCCAGAACTTCAGAACATCTCTCCGGCCTCCTACTAATTCCAGCATGTACCCACGTGATCGTCGCCACATGCTGCCATTGGCACCATGCTTCCACGTCGCCCCCTACAATTGTCGGTGTGGCCAGAAGTCCAGCATGAAAACACAATGCTCGTGGCTACACGGACGCGCAAGCCCCATTTCGCACCCATTGCAGACATGTTCCTTGAGCGCACTGTTCCGTCAACCCGGCCAGGAAACCTGAAAAAAACGCCTCAAATCGAACGAAGAAAAGGGCTTCTCCGCCATCAAACCGCCCAAGGTGGATGCATCGCTGCCCGCCCAATTTTGGGCCCTGTCTGGGCATTCCGCCTGGCCTCATCCCAGCGTGTCCTGCAGACAGTGCCCGGGGCCTCGCGCTCTTGAGGTGGCGATCGCTCAACTCCCCGGCTGGCACCCTCCATCCACAATCCTACCCGGCGTCATCCCCAGCACATCCATCGATTTTTGGCCAGAGTCCGCAACAAACAAACAAGCAGCCTCATTTCGTTCCCCGTGCTGCCCTGCTTGAAATTCCTGCCCCCTTTCGACGCAACACCTCGCACCCCCAGCCTCACGCCCGCTCAGCCTAGAAAAGCCGCCTGAATCTCGGATTCCACCTCACAAAATGAACACCATCGCCAGCCAGTATACACACGCGGCGCAGTCCCAACTCCACAACGAGTACAGCACGGGCACAGCCAACTTGGCTGCGTCGACGCCGCAATTGCTGTTGGCGCCCAGCATCGAAGTGCCGCAGATCCTGAAACCCGCCGAGTTCTTGCGGGCCCATACAGACCACGCCGCCAACCCGGACTGCAAAATCAAAATTGCGCACGGCACCACGACCTTGGCGTTCCGCTTCCAGGGCGGCATTGTGGTTGCCGTCGATTCGCGTGCCACGGCCGGGAACTGGGTTGCATCGCAGACCGTCAACAAGGTGATCCGAATCAACCCGTTTTTGTTGGGCACAATGGCCGGAGGCGCCGCGGACTGCCAGTACTGGGAGACCTGGTTGGGCACGCAGTGCCGCTTGCACGAGTTGCGTGAGAAGGAGCGCATCTCCGTGGCCGCCGCCCTGAAGATCTTGGGCAACTTGGTCTACCAGTACAAAGGCATGGGCTTGTCCATGGGCACCATGGTGTGCGGGTACACGAAGAAGGAGGGCCCTGCAATCTACTACGTGGACTCCGACGGTACCAGAATGAAAGGGGACATGTTCTGTGTGGGGTCGGGCCAGACCTTCGCCTACGGTGTCTTGGACTCCGAGTACAACTGGGACATGTCCGTCGAGGACGCCTTGTACTTGGGCAAGAGATCCATCTTGGCCGCTGCGCACAGAGACGCCTTCTCGGGAGGCTCCATCAACTTGTACCACGTGACCGAGAGCGGGTGGGTGTACCACGGCAACCACAACGTCGGCGACATCTTCTACGACATCAAAGAGACCGAGAAGTCGTTCAACAATGTCGACGGATGAGGCGCTGTGCAGCGCGCGGCCCGCACTCTCGCTTCCCAGCCCCGCGAGCCGGGTTTTTGGCCACCAGCCGCCGAGGGCATCCCGATGCGCAGCGGAGAGCTTCGTGTGGTCAATTGACGTGGCCGGGGAAGCTGGGTCGCCGCGGCCAGGAGCCGTTCCGTTGCAAGCATCCGCTCCAGTACGCGAGTGAAGCCGGCAAGTAGTGTAGATACGGCACAATAAAAGAGATCATCAATGGCGCCACCGCGGGCCCTCGGCCGACCAGCGATTCGGGATGCCGCCGCCAAACTGCTTCGGTGCCGGGCCAATACCCCCGGCCGGGGCACGGTGTCCTGCACACGGAGAGGGCACGCGCCCTAGTGGCGCGGCGGCACGTGACGCGGCCGGCGTGCACCGCACGTCCGCTCCCATCGCGCGCACCACCCGGCCTTGGTAAAAAAATTCATCTTTGGCCCCGCCATTCTTTCATCCATCAAATACAGCCAAAATGTCCGCTCAAAACCCTATGCGTGAGTTGCGTATCGAGAAGTTGGTCTTGAACATCTGTGTCGGTGAGTCCGGTGACAGATTGACCAGAGCCTCCAAGGTTTTGGAGCAGTTGTCTGGTCAGACCCCAGTCCACTCCAAAGCCAGATACACGGTCAGAACTTTCGGTATCAGAAGAAACGAAAAGATCTCCGTGCACGTGACCATCAGAGGCCCCAAGGCCGAGGAGATCTTGGAGAGAGGTCTCAGAGTCAAGGAGTTCCAGTTGAAGAAGAGAAACTTCTCTGCCACCGGTAACTTCGGTTTCGGTATCGACGAGCACATTGACTTGGGTATCAAGTACGACCCAGGTATCGGTATCTACGGTATGGACTTCTACGTTGTCATGGGCAGACACGGTGCCAGAGTCGCCAGAAGAAAGAGAGCCAGAGGTGTCATTGGCAACTCGCACAAGACCAACCAGGAGGAGTCCATTGTCTGGTTCAAGCAGAAGTACGACGCCGACGTCTTGGAGAAGTAGATTCGTGGCTTCCCCTTATTTTCTAATGGAATATTGCACATGTTGAGAGAGTTGTAGGTTGTAGTAGAGCGTCGTAGGTTCGGGGTATTCGAGTCTCTGTTCTTCGGACGTTGGAAGGGGCTGTTGGAGATACAGGCTTAATTTGCAGGTCCCAGTGCCGTGTTTTCCGGATTATAGAGTCTCTTATCCTCGGATGTTGGAAGGGGCTTTTGGATCTACAGTCTGTATTTTGCAGATCCCAGCGCCGTATTATGGATTATAGAGTCTCTTTTCTTCGGATGTTGGAAGCCGGGACTTTTTGGATCTATAGGCCGGAATTTCTGGGCTTCGAAGCCTCTATCTTCAGCAATTAAAAGCCGGGACTTTTTGGGGAGCTCACCAAAACCACATACGGACATGCCGTCCCCGGCTCACTGAAGATAAGAGCCTCGGTTTGCCAATCCCATCCGTACATGAAATGTTGGCCCCGGCCACGTCGTTGTGGACCTTCATAAACAAAGCTCGTCCGTTGCCGCAATCTTCAAGACATTTATGGAAGACGATGCGAGTTCCAGAAAATACACACCATAAGCTGCCTCTACCCTCTGGGTTGGAGCGTCTGCTACAGGAGACTTCCCGGAATCAACCACGTCGAACTAAATCTGTATACAGATGCCCGGCCGAAGAATGGGCCTTTTGGCTTCTGGCTGAGCACTTAGAAACGGTCAGGCTATTTGTTTAATTTTATAATTACGTTTCGACAGGTGGACCTACAGAATAAACCAGACGGTCGACAAAGTAGGGCCGGCTCGTTCCTTGCCAGCACGAAGAAGGCATGGAGGGCCTCGACGGATTGGTCGCTTTTTGGGTCTTCTAGTCGCTCGAATAGATGACGAAAGTGTTTTGTTGCGGCGTTCGTTTGAGTTGGGTCCACCGGTTCGAGAATGCACTAATCAGATGATCTGCTGAGATTTACTAGGCGATGAACAAAAACCTCGTATTTCTATTTACACTAAACCACGCTGCAAATTTCGAAAGCATATGTTAGACCTGGGCCTTGGCAACTGGCACAGCCATTCTCGGCTGTTGTCATTGAATCAAGGTGTCGGTATCTACTAACCATGTATAATTTCTCAATATTACTCATTACAATAGATGAGATATGATAAAGTAATCGTGTAAGCTAAACTTGATTTTTTCGATCTTGTTCCGTCTAGCCAACTATATCAGATATATAAATTGTTTTTATAATTCATGTTGAATTCTCGAAAACCTATATATTCAGGTTTCCTCCTTTTTTTTAATACTTCGCACAACTCAGTCGTATTTGTCGCAGACATTACCTTTATTTTGAATGTGTATAATCATGCATTGTTTGCTGAAACAATAGCGCGATTGCTGTGAATTCCCATTGAGTGCAGCAATATTATACTATCAGCATTACAATCCAAAGGTTGTCTTTGTTGAAGCCCCGTACTTGAGATATCTCGTAGATTATTCGACCATGCGCATTCATTCAAGGACTCGAATATCTAAGCAAACTGCATCTCGACGCTGGATCCATGTTTACAAGCATTCGTTTGCAAGAAGGCTGGTCTTTATTAATATGCCTCTAGCTACGCCCTTTCATAAACGGACCGAAACGAAAACAACGGCAGAAGCCAGGGTCCAGCCGGGCAAGGCGCGTCACGTGACGTGCCTGTCTCGTTATCAGCTCCAGGGCCCCCAGCCCGTCTCTCTTCATCACCATGCTTTCTCTTGACTCCGACCCCCTAGACTACTTACCATGTATGTTACATAATCCTTGAAGCCGCAAGTGTGGTCTTGGCTCTTTTTCATGTGCCCTCCGGCCTCTGGGTCTGAACTATAATCTTAGACTCGACGAAGAGCCCCAATCTACCGAACCCCAAGATACAATACAATTTTCGGCAGAACGTATCAAGATACAAAAGCTGCATCAAAGCACACTAAATCATAGAAGCTACATCGCAACACATATGAAAGCTAAATCAAAGCACATCAAAGCACATCAAAGTACATCAAAGTACATCAAAGTACATCAAAGTACACCACAGTACACCACAGTACACCCTCTTTTGAATCCACACACCTACTAACCAGCAGATATCGATGGAACCATCACAGACACAGAAAGACAGGCCGTGGAGCAGCTCATCCGCGCCGAAACGCCGGCAGAGCCAGGCATGCTCCATTCCCGGCTCGGCGAGTTGGCCCCGCTTTCCGAAAACAGGTCCTTGTTGATGCGTGACATGGAGCGCTTCGAGCTCGACTACTCGGACGGCTTGGTGCCGGAGACGTTCGTTTCGGGCGGTGTCTCCATGGACAGATATACCGATTTCGGGCCCGACCACGACTTCAGCTATGACCAGATGTACACGGCCTTGCTGTATTCGGTCCTACGAGACCGCAATGCGCAGTTGGCGGCCGAGCACTCTGCAGAGAGGGCACATGCGCAGAAAGAGGCCTGTGAGAGCATGAGACAAGTGGAGAGTCTGCAGAGAGACTTGCTTGTGCGGAAGCGAGAGCGCACCGAGGAGCTCAATCTGGCCAGGGAAGCGAAGCAAATGCAGTTCCAGCCGGTGGACGGGTATTTGGAGCAGCGGTGGAAAGACGGGATTAAGGGCATCGTGGACACGGGCATCGAGAGGCACGCCGGCCCGTGAGTATCTGGCGGGAGCCGAGGAGCACTGTGGGCAGCACGTGTTTCTGCGGTGAGGTATTTATTCTAATGGTAGGAACTTGATTGTGACGACGGTGGTGAGCTTCGTGTAGAGTGAGGCGCGGCCGAGAGCTGGGGTATGCGGCGAGAATAGTATGTATAATCTGGGGCGATTCCATGCGAGAAGGGACAAGGTTGGAAGAAGCGGGGATCCTTGACCTCACGAGGCATATGATCTTGGTCCAGCAAGTTTTGTGCCTGGGCAAGTATTTGGCATCCTCAAGTATTTGGCATCGTCGAGTATTCGGCATCCAGCAAGTCATTTTCATTCAACTAGAAGTATGTGTCATTCAACTAGCAGTATTTCTCATTCCAGCAATATTGTCATTCAGCTAGCAATAATTGTCTCTCAACTAGCAGTATTTCTCAGTCAACCCGCAGTTTTTCCACGAGAATTGGCATCCAGCAAGATTTGGCATCCAGCAAGTAATTTTCGTTCAACTAAAAGTATTTGTCACTCAACTAGCAGTATTTCTCATTTTACCAAAATATTTCCCATTCAACCATCAGGATCTCCCATTCAACCAGCAGTATACGGCACCACCCAGAACTGTTCTCGACTACTCACTACGGCCAGAGGTTCTCTAGACCATTCAATGTAAGGACATCTGCATCGTCGCTCCGGCCCGATAAGACGTCCTCTCCAGCCGCACAAACAATTAGCATTCGTTCAGCTGAAAAATACTTCTTCCCGCATCTGCAAGACAAACATACATACCGCTCTGTATACCGACACCCCGGACTCGTGGAGAATCTGCATTCACTTTCAACCGAGGCATCGAGGGTAAGAAACCGGCAGGTCCGTGGACTTGGCCACTACACTAAACACGCCGATGTACGACGGCTGTCCGGCTCCCGTGGACCTCCAGGCACAAGTATCGGTCCAGCCTCCCGCATAAAAATCCAGTAAATACCAACAGGCATGCCCCAATCATGCCGCAAACTATATCAAGCATCGAGCCTCAATCAGATAAGGGCTGAGACGACTACGAGCATCGGCACACGCGCCAGAAAACCGCCCACTTGGGCCAGAGCTTTGCTCCCCCCTCAGCTTCCACGCGTGTTTCCGCATCGTCACGTCAATGCTTTTGTTTTTTTGTTGAGTCGCTGGTCGGCCTTGGAACTGCCCACATTGACGATCCGAGGGCACCCGTCGCGGTGCTTCTCCTGGACAACGCATTCGTGGCAATAGTAGGCGGGCGAGCCCCTGTCCGGGCCTTCGCCAAAGTGGTTTCCGCAGAGAATGCACCGCAGGGCCAAATGGCCAAAAGAACAGCCGTCACAGACCTGGGCTTTTGCCGAAGGCTTGACGAGCGAGTCGCAGATGGGACATTTGCCGTCACACTGCAGGCACAAGAAGCCGAAGTGCGTGCCGGGCCGCTTCATGCACTGGACGAGGTCGAACTGGTGCCGAGACATGGATTTGGGCTCGAGGCAGGGGCGATGGGTGGGATCTGGGGCGGCGGTCTGGGGGAAACGGCCACGAGCCGAGATGTCGAGATGGGGTCACGTGACCGGCACGTGACCGGCCCGGGGCGCCCGTCCAGGCGGCGCCCCCGGCGGCCGGGCGGGCTGTGGCGGCGTCCGGCGGCACGGGGCGGGCCTGCGTTCTCATCCCCCTTTTTTCGGTCATTTTTCTTGCTCTTTTCGGTGGCGTAGGTGGCGTGCTAGATGCGGCTCGATGCGGCTCGATGCGGCTCGATGAGGGTCGATGCGGCTCGATGGACCAGGCATATATACGGGCCTGGCTACACGGTCTTTCACCCCATCTGGCCCATTTCAAGCGTTCCAGCCCGCAGGCCCCTGGGACCAATTTTCCCAAAAAAACAAACACAAACACAGCCCACAGCCCCGCCCGGCCCCGTTGCCCGCTGCCCAATGGAGTGCCCCATATGCCTCGATGCGATGAGCCCATCGTCCATTGTGGGCCGGATTCTGGGCTGCTTGCACGCGTACCACCAGCCCTGCGTCATGCAGTGGCTGCAGCTCCTGAACCGGTGCCCGACGTGCCGCAAGCCGTTCTACGAAATCGAGTTTGTGGCGCCCGCAGCGCCCGCCCGCGTCATCAAGCGCATCGCGTTCAAAGATAAGCTTTTGGCCTCCGATGCCATCGACCACATCCCGGCCGAGTTCGTGATTCCGCCGCCGGTGTATGGCGCGGCCGCCGGGGCATCGCGCGATGCCCGCGACGACGCCGTGCTGCCGCAGAACGGCGTCTGCCTCATCTGTTCCAGTGCCCAATATTCGCAGGCCCGGCACGCCATGCTTTCGTGCATAGGCTGCGGCGGCCACTTCCACGCGCCGTGCTTGGGCCTCGGGGCCGGCGGCTCGTGGTTCTGTCCGTTTTGCGACTGCCGCCAGGAAATCCCCGGGTACGCCCGGCCCGCCACGGCCCGGCCCGGGCCTGTTTCTGGATGGCCGCATTCCGGGCCTCGCCGGCCGCCGCCTGCGGTCGCCAGAGAGACCAGTTCCGCCCGGCGCGGCCGGCGTTTGCTCTCCGAGGCGCTGGGGCCGGATTCCGCCGGATCGGGGCCGGACCGAGGCCCCTGGGAAGACGGGAACACGGACCCCGGGCCGCGGCCAGCATACGCCGGGCCGGGGCGGATGCGGGCCGCCTGGAACGGCGGTGTTTTGCTCCGGCGCCAGGCACGCGAGCTCCAGACCTTGACGCCCGAGGAGAGGTCGGCGTGGGCCGTTCTCGAAGACGCCCGCTGCGGGAACATGGGCGGCGGTGTGGAAAGCGTGGTTGCAGGGCCCAGCACCCGGCGAAAGCGCCGCCGGCCACGCTTGCCGGGCGCTCGTGGCGACTCCGGGGGTTCAGGGGGGACCGGTGCCAATTTGGGTGCCAATTTGGGTGCCAATTTGGGTGCCAATTTGGGTGCCAATTTGGGTGCAAATTTGGGTGCAAATTTGGGTGCAAATTTGGGTGCAAATTTGGGTGAACCTCTGGATCTAAATCCAGGTCTAACTTTGGGTGCATCTCTGGGTGCAACTGTGGGTTTATGTCCGGGTGCATCTCTAGATTCAAATCCAGGTCCAACTTTGGGTGTAACTCCGGGTCCAGCTCTGGCCCCATCTCCGGGCCCATCTCCAGATCCATCTCCCGATCAAAATCGAGATACACTCCCATATTCAAGCACAGAACCAGATCCCCCCGGCGCCCTGGACAATGCTTCTCGCCCAAGCCACAGCCGGATTGCCCTGCTCATGACCCAAATCAAGGCACGCCTGATCACGGGGCTTCCGCCCAGATTCCCCACCGCCAACACCCCGCCACAGCAGTCTTCCAGCCCCCCATCCAATGACCCCAGGCCGCTCCTGCAAAATCACAGCGATTCATCAAAAAGCCCTCGCGGGCCGAACAGCCCGGTCGTTTCTTCGGCAAGCCCTGAAGCCAAGCGATGGGGCACGGACCCTGGTCCTCGGCCCTTGACGCTCCTTGAAAAGCTGATGGTGCAGACTCACGTGAGGAATATTCTCCGTCCGCTTTATCGGGGACAGGGAACAAGGCGCATCTCCACCGAGGATGAATACGTGCGTATCAACAGAAGCCTTTCCCGGCAAATCTACTCCCATATCTCGTCCTTGTGCACGTCGCAGGGCCCGCAGATCTACGTGGAGCTATTCCAGGGTGAGCATGGCAAACTCAAGCGCTTGGTGGATGCTCACGTCGAGGGCTGGACCCACGACAACGTCTCCCTCGTGTCTCGGAAAGAGTGAGGGTTTATTAAGGCAGGTGTTGCAGTCGAGGGATATTCTGATGGAACTTTCTGTATTGTTGGGGGTTCTAAGGAAGATCCTATAATGTGAAGCTTCTGTATTGGTGATGTGGTTGCGTCCTGGCGCTTGTAGTAGTGTTTCTGTATTGGTACTGCTGTATTGGTACTGCTGTATTGGTACTGCCGTATTGGTACTGCCGTATTGGTACTGCTGTACTGGTACTGCTGTACTGGTACTGCTGACTGATGTATTGGTACTACTTCTGTATTAATGAACTTTAATTTGTATTCATGTTTGTCTTGGTTATGTTACTGTTTCGGTAACGTTTCCGTACTGATAATGTTTCTATATTGTAAAGCTTCTCTTTTGGAGTGTGAGTCCTTTTGATGTTTCTGTAATTCAACAAATTTGTATTAATGCAGATCTGCATCAATGCTGCTTCGTTTGGGAATAGCACAATGCTCTTCCGCTAGCTCTTACTATGCCATGGCTTCTAAAAAGAACATACGACTGATTGAAATGTTCCATTCCCACCTACGGGTCAGTTTATATTCACGCCAAAGCTAGACACCCCAGCGGGCCAAAAATGTCTTTATTCTCGTGATCAGCCAGCTGTACAAAAGGACGTTCGCATGTATTCCTCCATTTTCTGCTGTCGGAGAGTCGACTGATACTCCAGTGGCCGAATCGTTCTGCTGCTACCTACCTCCAAACTATTCAAATGCCTTCTGTGGCCAACAACTTTTGGTCAATTAATCAATGCTTTCTGTAGAACAAGAAGATAATCCAGATGAATGTATATCGGTAGCATTGCACACGTATCCATGTACTTATGGTCGCTTTTGGGTTTGTGAAAGGAGGGGCCCTTTTTACGGACAAGCACAGAGGATGGGTTCTAAAGTCCAAGAATCAAAAAGACACTTTTGCGGCTATTCGGCCCTTACGACAATTACTGCAAAGCATATATTCGCTTAGTCGGTTTCACAGCTATGAGCTTGGCCGTTTTAATAGCGACAACACGCCATCCTTCCACCAAAACAGCGAGGATATCATGTTTCAGAGACAGTTCTGAATTCATCTTCTCCTGGGCCCCCTAGGCTTGGAAAACTTCATCCTCGAGTCGCCAGTCACGGGTGTGTCCGTCACATCCTTTTTCTCAAGCGCAAGAGTATCAATTTCGTCGAAGTCGCCCACTTCCATCGTCTCCACGATTTCCTGATCGGGCAAATAATCATTCTTCAAATGGGAAAGCAACCCTTGCTTGTTGGCGGCATACATGATCCGGGACTTCACCTTACATCCCGAAGGACACGCGTAAATAAATGCCAATTTCCCCTGTTCGTAGCCGTACAACACGTATGCTGGGCTGGATTGCAGACCCTCGGCCACACTCAGAGAAATGGCATCCACTAAATTGTTGACTGTAACTCCGGAGACTTCTGCACTAAGGCTCAAAGTTTCCGCGTCTGTGTCGATGTTCATCACCACCAACTTGGAGTATAGGTCCGAGCGAAGAAGGCAGTCGAGGTCCAGCTCGATCTTGAAAAACAACGAGGTTTCTTTCTGCGTATCCATGGACGGAAGCTCCCTCTTATATGCGCTGGCAGATGAATGTGAAAGGGTCAAGTTCTGCAAAGAGTCGAGGGTCTGCAAGTCCCTTTCCTTGGCCGTCAAAGTGGAACTCTGGTCTGGCTCCAGAACGGCACGTCCGAACTCCTCGTGGTCCAATTCTCTTAACTCCGAGAACTCAACAGTATTCTTCTTCGAGAACTTCGTACCTAATTGCTGAAGCAAGGTGTTCTTGGTGGACGCAAAGAGCATTTTCTGTCTGATCGGAGCCAGGTCCGGAATGAAGCTGACAAAATAGCCTTCATGCGAGGCATTCGGAGAAATGATTGCAAATTTGGGCTCTGGAAATTCCGCAGAGAAGTGGTCTTTAAGAGCATCCAACACACAGTTGATTTGGGTGTTGGAGGGACTCTCGAATGACTCGTCCACCACCAATTGCGTGGAGTCTTGAGAAAGCGTGATCACCAATGCAGCCGACTGGGAGCCATTGGCGAGGTCTATGAGTTCGCTACTTGCCTTGATACCGGATTGGGTCGACATTTGTTCAGTTGTTGTCTTGATGTCGCGTTCTCTGAAAGCGGCAACACTCGTCAATGTGCGCACTGCAATGTAAGGCAACGCAAGGCAATGTGGTGTGGCGCGGTGGAGCCTGCGCCAGATCAAGCACTCGTGCCTTTGGCTCGAAACGCGAATCAGTAACTGGGGCGCGTCCATCAAAATAGAAACAACAACAGAAGACACCAGCAACGCCTTGTATGCCCTCAACTGTGCCGGGTTACATTTCAAGAAAGGGAGCTTCTCAATAATTTCATCTGGATCCATTGTGGACTCTTGATTCATTCTATCTACTGTCTCAAGAAAGCACCACTGAGACCTATCTTTACACACCCAAGCCATGGGACTCCTCGATTTTTTGGCCCTTGGGACTGGTGCAGCGTCTGAAAATATTCCGACTTTTCGTCGGGGCTCTGGCCGAGACGCCGTCGATCTACAAGTGCGCTCTTTGCTCTATCTTTTCAAAAGACTACGTGTGAATCGCCTAGCTTCGTTTTCTCTGGGAGAAACACTCAAGTACACCGACGGAAAACTGTGGGACCAGCTGCTGATTTCTCACGAGGCCGAAATCAAGAAACTAGATAAAGCGTATAACTTGAGCGGATTCCAGAAAGTCCTAGTCGAGGACGAGCACCGGGTCTTGATCGACTGGCCGAAAAACAAGTTTCGGGCCCTATGTATTCTTTCGGAATACCCCGCCATGTCGCTGAATTCTTCAAACGCCGCTTTTGAAGAAAACGCTTTGCCCGTTTTCCTGGACTACAAGGAGCGGTCCACTCACAGCTTTGCATTCTCTATTTTGCCGGTCAAAACCAGTACTTCCACGCGTGATTTGGCATTGGACCTTGCCCAGTCTTTGTTATACTACGAGCATCACTCCTATGTTTCCCTCATGTCCAGACTCCAAACTGCAGAGAAGGCAATCGCCAAGTTTTGTGGTGCAGATATCAAGATGGTCGAGTTGAGTGAGGCAACGAAGGCCGACATTGTGCATGAATACTTGAAGCAGTTGGCCTTTCTTGTGCAGCTAGTTCGAATCTACCAGCAGTATGTCAACCCAAAAGACTCCGAAACGCCTCTGAGCTCTCCAAAAAAAGCCGCAGTCGCCGACCAGCCTCGTGCCTTACGCCCCGCAAAATCCTTTCTGCAGCTTCCAAATGCAGCCAGCTCTCCCCTGAGACCTTCACTAAGCCCCAAGAAATCGATGGCCAGCTTGAGCGGCAGTCCCAAAAAGCTGATGGGGGATATCAGTTCCGGAAATCCCGACGTGAGCCCTCGCAAACAGCTTCAGGCGCGGCCCTCGATCTCAAGTTTCAGGGCCAACGAAATATACAATCCCGTGACCTCCCCGCCCATTTCATGCACCAACTCTGAGAATAAACGCATGGGCTCGGGTGTGTTGCTGAGCCACCTGTCTGAGTCCGGGCGAGAAACCACCGAGTTGTGGGAGAAGTGCAAAGCATCAATACGCGAGAAGCTAGCGAAGGAAAAAGAGCAGCTTGGTAAAGCATAGACCTGGAGTGCAGGTGTATGGGCCGACGCGCTTTTCCTTCTCTACATATGGCAATGGAAGATGGTTTTTCCCTCTTCAGTAATTCAACGCGGACTCACTCACGAGGTGGATTCGCATCTCGCGTCCCCTCGCAGAACCGTGCGTCCGCGCGACTTGCAGGGCCACACTCACCAGGCACCTCTCGTCTGTCACTTCAAATAAAGAGCCATCTGCATAACCAACGATCTGCATAGTCTACTGATCTGCATGATGCTTAGCAGTCTAATAAAACGCAATGTTCCAAAGAGGCTCTTCTCCATTTCCAGGGCCCATAATGATCTATTCGGCGGGGGCAAAACCATAAACCAGGGCAAGCACATGATGGCTCCAGGCAATAAGCTGGAGGCCGTGGGAAACCCGGTTGATCTCATCAAGAAAAACGACATTCTCATGTACTCACAGAAGCCGATCAACTACATCGAGTCAGTCAAACCCAACGGGTTCCACTTGGCGAACAACATGCTCATCACGTCCCCCAGCGAAAAAGGCGATGTAATAGGCGCCTTGCTCTTGGAGTCTGAGAGCTTCGAGGTCAATTTTTCCAACGGCGGATACAAGATGGTGAACGGGTTCATCGTGGAGTTCAGCGAGGAGCTTATTCTCAGCTTATTCTGCAAAGTGCATCCCAAGCCCGAGATCTTGGTTGTGGGGCTTGGCAAGAAGTCTCGTATGCTCCTGGAAAAAAACAGGCAGTTCTTGTCTGGCTTGGGCATCCAGCTAGAGTTGGGCGAACTGAGGCACGCGGCAAGGATCTACGACTTGCTCGCCACCGAGAGACCGGGCGTGATCTCTGCGTTGCTTTTGCCGCCAAACGCATAGGCGGGCGTTTCGTTTCTTGGGTCCCTGTATTAAATAGAATCGAGTCCCTGTATTAAATAGAATCGAGTCCCTGTATTAAATGAAATCGAGTCCCTGTAATAAATGAAATCGAGTCCCTGTATTAAATGAAATCGAGTCCCTGTATTAAATGAAATCGAGTCCCTGTATTAAATGAAATCAAGTCCCTGTATTAAATGAAATCGAGTCCC